AATTTTTTTTTTCGTAAGCTGTAAAACAAACATAAAATATACTGGAGACATGAAAATGCCTGTTTTTGTGAGAATGACCCATATATATATATATATATATATATATAATACAGGTATAATACAGGAGCTGAAATAGGTAGTTCGTTTGTATTTTACTTATTTATTTTTATTTCGCCAACTTAAAATTTTTGTACATTGAGAAATAAAGTATGGTTAAAACTAGCAGAATCTGGTAAAATTTGCCATGTTTTTGACTATATGGAAGACTGAAAAGCTTGATAACTATTACCGAAGCACTCCTGTAATTATTTTGGCAAAATGAAAATAAAATTTGGTTCTAAAATATGTGATAAACTTTGGTAAATGTGGTAAAATTTGGTAATTTTATCATGGTATCTTAGAGCATGGCATAAAAATCATTTATTCGATTAAATTTACTTTTCAGTTTTGTATGTTCTATGTTCCCATACTTCTCAGTTTTATTTCCTTTACTTTTCAGTTTTATTTTCAGTTTTGTGCATATGTAAATGTGTGGTAATAACTATAATTTTATGAACCAGAATTTGTGGAAAACCGTTATCATATGAGCCGTTGCCATATGAATGATTTAAATATTTTTTATTTTGGTTTTACTACTAGAATGATGACTCTTTTTTCTTCTTTTGTTTACCATAAATGTCTTTACGTTACAGTAAATTATAGAATTTTAAAGTTCCCTGTAAAATTATCAAAAAGGTACAATTTATTTCATAGATTTAAGGAAGTTACTTTTTTAATTGAAATTAGAATTAAACGAGAAAACAAAATTTACGTACGTTTTGGAAGTGCATTATAACTAAAACCAATACTTTCCCGAGGTAGCATAACCATTGTTTAAAAAGGACAAAAAGATGTAATGGAATGTTCCGTTGAAACTTTTAAAACTTTTATCTAAAAAAAATTTCTTCTTTCTTTGAAAAATTACTGGATTCGTCACCGAACGAGCAAATTCGGGACCACTTGGGACGGCAACTTTGACAGCACTCCAGTTGAGTTGATTTAGCCGTGATTTTACAGCAATTATGGAGTGAGATGCTGTTGGACATCATGAGGGATTCGTATGTCTCAATGCCCAAACGTATCGCATCCTGCATTCGCACTGCTGGTGGTCCAAGAGGATACAAAAATCTCCGTTCATTTGCATTTTTCCTGCAATAAATGATCATTTTGCTTTGATTTTTAATCACTTACTGATATCAACATTGTACTTGTGTACGCAAATTTTGTTCCATTCTGACAACTCTTTCGAGACAGAACAGAATATACATCTACACAGAATATACATTCTAGGCGAAGAATATACTCCTTTCTATATATTTTTTTTCTAGATACTCTAATTTTTATAGCAATGGGTATATTTTAGAGCTTGCGTTTATAATTATACATAACTTACGTTTATTGTAATATATAATCACGTTTATGACAATGTATTATATATAATTAATTTGATTAACTTAATGTTACACTTTTTTCAACGTTATAAAATAACACCTATTACGATTTCGGCCCATTCTGACCCATAGTTTTGAGATCACTAGTTTATGTCTAACTTATGACGTGATTTCAAACCTGTTTTTCTATTTCTTCATTTTTCTTTTTTTTCATTCTATGAAATATTTTACCTGTTTCCAATATTCATCTACAAATTGTATTTTTTTATATAGAGAGTCCTGACTACCATTGAAAATCACTTATAGTCATTTTATGGATACATATTAAACTATTTCATGCTCAATCTCAAATATGTGTTTTCTTTTATGCTTGCAACTATCTCGATAACAAGATTTCTTCGATTGATTAATATTAGTGAAAATTTTCATAAAAATCTTACCTTCAGCTTTCAACTGCCAAGCTTTCGTAATCTTGTACCTAAAATTTCTTCGTTTAGCAGAATCTAGTCAATAAGAGATATCATTTGTACTTGATTTAGTACTTGACGTCTGTGACGTTATCTCTACTTAATTTGCATTTGTCATCTAGCATTAAATGAATTGCGTACTCTTGTTTAAACTTAATCAATCAAATTTCTGCTTTTATCCAAGACATTAGTATTATATGCAAATCACGCAAATGTGTTATAACATTTTTACTGGTGAAAACGTTTACAAGCTTTTGAAATTTAAACTTTTAACTACACTTTGTCATCTCAATGTAGTTACACTTAAAGTCAACAATAAATTTAAATACATACTAATATAAACAATTTATTTGATATACGAAAATAGGGAATCACAAAAACTCTTTACAGCTCTATCTAAATTAGTACACTTCACAATCAACGCAGTACAATTAAAAAGCATGACATTCCAATTCACGTTCATTATTTTGGTTCAAAGCAGATAATAATTACCTTAAAGCATTCACACAAATGGTAATGAGATATATCTTGGACTCGTGTACTACCCTATAACCTTAGTGCTTAGTTCTGTTCCTAGATTTTGGTTTGTTTGGTCACAGAATCTTGCTTTATTCTTTAGTCTGAGCTTTGCTCTTTTATTTTGATTCAGTTTTAGGCTGGCTGTTGGTTTGTTCTTTGGTCTTAATTTGGCTTTTTGGTTATTTTGGGTTTTGTTTGCAAAATTTGGTTAAAAAAGTTTTATTTGAAGCAAAACCTTCGAATGAACATGCATCTTAAATAAGTAATCCCAAGAAAATGAAGCGGCAAGGAATTACTTGATTAAAAAAAGTTGGCTACATCAGATAAACCAGACGAGCTTTAAAATTTAGACTTAAACACTATAGATATGTCCGTTAGCAATAATATAATAAATTATCAATTGCTGCCCCTGTTAGAATTTTGGGCATAAAATCACTTTCGACAATTCCAAGATTATTTCCACCCCAGTCACATCAGGTCATCTTGATCTCCTGGAACCTTGTTTCATTCATATGAATGCTAATTCCCTTGTTAACGACATTATTTCCTCACTACCTCTCTATAGCAAGTGGAAATTCATTTTACCTTGATTCGCCCTCTAAACCGCTGTGGGATTTTTTTTTTTCCTTTTTTTTTCTGTTTCTTCATCTTTATTTTTGTTTCACTCTTGGCTATTGAGGTTTTTTTAGTTTTGTTTTTCACCTTTATTTGTCTTTTCTTTGTTGGCAACTGTACGTTTATACTTCAAATCACTTTTATTTCTTCTCATTCGCATCTGGCTAGTCTTGAAAATGGAATTCTATTTTTGAGTGCTGGAAGCATGGAAACACGTCCACTTCTATTTCAATCTTCAAGTTTTTGAAGCCATTGAAGTTATTTCTTTAATTAAAACATGCAACTGTAACAATTTTTCAAATTTAGAACTAACAATTTTGGCCTAAATTCCAAGCTGTAAACGGGTTGCAAAAACCTCTGCTGTTAGCTGCCACTTATCTACCCATTTTTATCTATTTCTTCCACAAGGATTTTTTATAAGATGTCGAAGAGTTTTGAGATGCCAAAGTTCTTTCAGAACAAACTTTTGCTTCCAAGATGGTTCGACGGAACAATCCTTTTGATTCAAGTATGGCGACTAAAGTAGCCAGTCTTGTGATGGAAGAAAGTCAGAAAATTGTGCTCTGCACTATTCTTGAATACCTTTAGTTCTTTACACTGAAGAAGAATCCTGCTGTGGCTGGAGGAGTTCTTAGCTTAGATACATTCCTGTTTCAAGAACCTCTGCTGCTGTGTTCCCAAATGTTGTTTTTTCCTTTATACTCAGGGACCGCACCAAACTTCGGGGAACTGGTTTAGGTTATGACTATGAAAGCTAGCCTTCTTCCCCTATGTATGTTCTTTGGTTTATGTTCGTTACGTTGCACTACTCTATTGGTCCGTACAGAGGACTTTCCTCTTTTAGGAGGTGTGGGTTCTTGCCCGATTTTTGCGCACTGAAAATCAGTCTTAAATAATTGAAAGTGCCAGCCTCAAATATATTGATTAATTAATACTAACTGTTAATAAAGTTACGGAATCAGATACAAAAACATGATTTCTTTGAGCAAACGTGCATTTTTCAATGGCTTTGGATTTTTGATCATTGAAATCGTAGGTGGGGTAAGAGTGGCCGCTCTCTGAAAATAAAGTTCTATATGTTTAGTAAGGAGTTAGGTTGAAAGTTTGGGCCTTTCTAATTTCACTTTTCACGTTTTTAGTCATAAATTCTAAAACTATATGCGCAATAGCAAAAATCTTTTACCTAGTTATTAAACTCTTTTATCCAAAGATAGTTCAGTGGAATAAATATTTATTAATACTTATTTAAAGTTTTTAATTATTTTATTAAAAAAAATCAACAGATGTTTTGCGAGGCGTAAAAATGTTTCTATAATTTTCTTTAGTTTTTTTTAATAAATTTTATGTGACAAAATACGAAATTTGAGCGAAATCCGTCAAATAGTTTCTGATTTACAAAATTTAAAAAAAAATGTTTTTATAAATTTTTATTTAAACCGAATTATTTGACGAACTTGTTCAAACTTTTTATTTTTTCATTAAGAATTACTTTGTTTAAAATGTTTAGAAAAAATGAAAATAAAATGTATCCTGCCCCAAAG